ACAAAGTTTGTGGTACTTAATTTATTTTATTAATTTATTGGTTTGAAAAAATTAAATTAATTATTTAAATATTTATTCTGTCTAATGTAAAAGTTAAAAACACTCAAAATACTTTATTCTTTCCCAACAAAACTTTATGTAACCTACCTGCCGAATATAATTTTTAATGGCTGACATAAACATCGAATTATTGTCATAAAACAATATATGCAATTGCAGCTAATTTATTTAAAAATTTTACCATCACTGCAGCTCAACTTTTAATATTTTAGGAACGTAATGAGTGACAGTTAAAAACCTTGAGCACTATTTTAATATTCGATTTAAGCCTGGAGAAGGGGTCTTCTTAAATCAACTTAGCCGTTTACCGTTTTCGACACTCTGAACAAAAAGAATATTGATGTGCCATTCACTTGGGCCTCTTGAAATGTTACCACGACATTAGACGAGATGCCCCTCGATGCCACTTGACCATGTGACTAGATGGCTGCCCAAATCCCAGTCCCGTCAAGATTTCCCGTCTGGGATTTGGGCATAAAGAAGGCCACTAATCACAAATACGACTCGTACCTACTACTGCGACTGTCAATAATAAATTACCGTGATTTTCACATGGTGTTGAAGGATTGCCCACACACGACAGTCCGAGAGAGCCATACCGAAACTCATACTTGGAAACGGGTCGAGATCGACTGGGGACTGGGGAACTGGGGCTGGAAAGCAAATGCGACAAGTTTCCAAATGGGTAACAATTTTCAAAGTGATTAATTCGCCTGCTGGCTGCCATCGAGCATTCGGCCATAGGATTGATTTATGGCCGCAAGACGTTAAGTGGATGCAAGATAAGTTAACTGTCGTATATCCTCGCCGCTGGTGACCGAATCCGAACCAAAGCCGAACTGATCCCCAATCCACACAGATCCAATCCGAGGCGAAACAATACCGGGAATGTCGAGTGGTTGCAACCGGCGCGATCCCATGGTTTATGACCCATAAACGAGATCGCTTCACAAGCGCGGCGCAGCGAAGGATCTCTTGAATGGTCAGGTATGGTATGGTATGCTACGGTATCGTATCGCATCTCATGGATACGATTAATTTACCCGGCTTACTGATTGGCCCCATGTGTAATGGGAAATTTTATGCCCAGCGCGGTCATTTAGCATTGTAAAACAGACCATAAAGTGAAGCGAGTGGGGCCCTAAGTATTTAGACTCTGGGAACGGAACTAATGTCCCGCTGATGGCACCATAGAATTACTGAAAACCGTTTAAGAAATTAGTTGCTGGACATGTGAGCGCCGCTCGGCATGTGGCTCTTAAAGTCCGATACCTGTCCATCTGTCCAACTGTCCGCTAACATGTGTAAACTGTGTCAAACGAAACCAAATTAATCACTTGCACTTACAAATACGACCATCGCGGCTAATTCGGTGGCCTCATCGCAACTCGAAATCGTAACCGAAATCGCAACTTCGGCCGCTGCCTTCGTCGGCTGTCAATTTCAATTGAATTGGCAATTTGTTGCATAATCGAGCCACTGCTAAATGTTAATTTATCAAACGGCGATAGTCGTTACAAATTGTTATCCCCATAAAAGCCAACATCCACGTACACAGGCACATGCACAGGGTTTTCAGGTAGAAGCCCACGAACACAGTCGCAAAGATGCCGGGTTTGTTTTGTCTCGCATGCGGACGGCATTTTCCGTGTCCCCGGCATTTGACAATTTCTGCGTCAATTCGGCAGAAACCTACACACACGAAAAACATCACACTATCCCGGTGCACTGGCAGAAATATAATATGGCTTGAATAATAAATATTCATTAATTAACATCAGACCATTATTTTATATTCTCTATACTCATTAGGATTAGAAAAATATATATTCCTTGCTCAAAACATTTTTGTAAAATCTAGCTTGATTCCTTAAAACCGATTTGAATACTCCAAAAACTGCAAGGTAATAGAATCTGTAAAACTTTATTAGCCATGAAAAATAAAATCTCTAAATATTTCATTATTAAAAAAACCGTAAATATTTTATTACAGTAACACTAAGCTTAAAAATGTATAACCATTTTTTTGTAAGTAGTTATTATTTTCCCACAAAATAAAAGAAAGTCTATACTTGTAAAAAATAAAAAAAATAACTACGAAGTTTAAGAAAATTTTTTATTATTTTAAAACAATACGTTCCATTAAATTACTTCATTAAAAACCATTTCGTAAAATGTTATGAATTATCCAAAAATGTTTTACCTTCAATTTTGAATGCTTCAATTTTTATCTTGGTGTATCACTTAGTTTGGTTTTTGTCTAACCTAAATTCGGGCACTAATTAATTCGATAATACGTTTTGAAAACAATAATGCCACTTGTTTAACTGACATCTTTATTTAAAAAAGCTGTTTTCGTTGTTGCTGAATTAGAATAAATGTTCAAACTATAAATTCATGAAAAATAATGTTCTTTTCGCTCAAAGGCAAAAAGGTAATTAGCAGTAATTAGTGAAAAAAACCTTACAAACGAATAAGTAAAATCGATAGCCAATTCAATGTGTCGGAATATCACTATGGACGGCAGTCCATGTACACTCAAAAAAAAAACAGCCCGAAATCGCCATTAAATCAAGAAATTCGCCATGAATTTCAGTCGATGGCGATTTACCGTATTTTTTAGAAAGGAATTTTCTAAAATTTAGAAAAAAATTTCTGAAAAGCAGAAATACTTTTCTAAAATCAAGAAAAATTCCCATAAAATTGCGAAAAATTTCCTTAAATCCAGAAAGTACTTTTCTTGAAAATAGAATTTTTTTCTTAAAATAAGAAAGGACTTTTTTTATTTTCAGAAAATTTTTTTTATATTTTAATAAAATGTATACATATTTATTTAACTATTTTATTTCCTAAACAAGAAAGAGAAAAGAAAATAAAAAGGATGAAAAGAAAATTATTAATATTTCCTAAACAAAAAAGGAAAACAAAACAAAAAAGATAAAAATAAGATAATAAATATTTCCTAAAGAAAAAAGAGAAAAGAAAACAAAAAAAGATAAAAATTACATTATAAATATTTCCTAAACAAAAAAGAAAAAAGAAAAGAAAACAAAAAAGATAAAAATTATTAATATTAATATTAAGTAGGTATTTAATATATTACCTATTATTAAAATTTACTTACTGCCAAATTATCAACAATACCTGAAATTAAAATTATTCCTGCAATCGAAAATAAAAATTAATATTAGAGAAGGGTAGTATTTGCGGCCTGCAATAGTATGGCCTTTGCTTACCATAAATTTTCACACACTTACCAAATTTAAATTTAAATTTATTTAAATTGCTTACCTATTAATTGCCTCTTAGAGGGATCGCACTTTAACTTTCTTAAATGGGCTCAACACAAACTTATTACTTTGAATGCTCATCCAAAACTGAGCACAAGGGTTCAAAATGCAGCGCAACGCAAGCAACTCTCTCGCGAGAGACTGCATTTCCAAAACAACAACGCAATAAAAGTTACAGCTACGCACAAGAAAATTCTCGATCATACGCACAAACACACATAAACATATACATACATACGCCAAAACTGTCGTCGCAACGCGCCGCGGACTAACCCCTTGTCTTCTTCTTTTTCGTTTCGAAGAAAGAGTGAGAAGCATAAAAGAAATACAAAAAGTTTTTCTTAAATCTATGGTGATTTTCTAATTCTACTTTTTGGTTTTCAAGAAAACATTTTTTTTAATTCAGAAAAATTCTTAAAATTTAGAAAAATTTACCGTATTTTTTATGGCGACTTTCTAGATTATAGGAAGGGCTGAAGTACATTTTTTCTTAATTTAATGGCGAAATCGCCATTAATTTAAGAAAACTTTTGGAGAGCCAACTAGGAAAAAACACCATTGATTTAAGAAAAAAAATCATTTTTCTAAATTTTAGAAAAGTTTTTCATAAAATTCTGTTTTTATGGCCTTTTTTCCTAGATTCAAGAAAACAATTTCTAAAATTCAGAAAATTTTCTAAAATTAAGAAAAAATTTCATTTTATGGCGATTTTCTAAAATTTAGGAAAAAAAATTTTTTGAGTGTAGTGACGAAGCGCACCAGGAGAGTGTGCGAAGGCGACTACTATATATACACGAAGAAATGAAAATCTACTGTGATGGTCCGATCATAATGAATGATACACCTATCGAAAGGTATTGCGAAAACTAACAGGACTGCATACCAAGACTCTAAGAAAATCAATTGGCTTGGGAGAGAGAGCGGTGAAATTGAAAAAGTGAAAACTTCGAAATTTGGAGTTGTTGGGGCCGGTGGGGATAATTGCCCCCTCGCAATATTTTAGTTGTATTCCTTTTAAAAATACCCGTCGAATGAGGGGTCATTTGTCAAAATCCGAAAACAATTTTCTTATTCGGCACGCTGCAATAGAAAATGCCTGTGAAGGGAAAAAGGCTGGAATAGTTTGCTAGGGCGGGCCGAATGAGAAAATATTAGAAAGTCTATTTAATGAAGAGTGTAATAATTTTTCGTCACAAATGTTGATATCAGAACTTTTGTATGTTGAAGGTGCGTTCGTCACTAGTTTTTTACCTCGTTAAGAGGTGTTTTTATTTGATTTGTACATACATTGCAATTACCAAAAATATGTTCTTTCCTTTTACAAAAATGATTTCGCGTATTTATGGTCGATGTAAAATGTCACCGAATTTCCTTTTTTCTGGCATTTAAACAACAGTAGTGCCCGAGTTCACTTAATTTTAAAAGGTTTACAAATTTAGGCCAAAAATTCAACCTAACAAAAAGTAGTATTAATAATAATCCTATTTTTTTAACGGCCCTTTTGAAATATCATCTGATCTGTTCCATGTTTGAAACTTTAGAGCGTAAATTACAAATACTTAAAAAATTTTCTGAAAATAAATACTTACTATCCATCCACAACAAATCGCCCATGTCGACCATTCGAATTCCATTCATTTATAAGACAAATTTTTCATGATTATAAAGAATTTTATTAAACGAGTTAAAATTATTTATATTATGTGTTCATATAGACGAAGTGTTTAGTGTGAAGTCTGTTAGACAATGAAAAACGTATCACAGTTTACAATCTTATTGCGCTAGTTTAGTATTTAGCCTAAGCTTACATTGCAGTTTTGAAGAGAAACATTTGATCCGGTACTCTAGATACGATGCATAACTTGAATGAAACTTGAAGTTACTTAACGCGCTAAACGGGGCTACAGTTAATATTACACAATCCGTCTGGTTCTTGCACGATCCCATATGGTATATATATATATATGCAGTATATATATGCAGTCCGATTAGTTGGTGAACTTCTTGAAGAGCGGCTTGAACATCATGGCCTCATTCCGCTGCAGTTGGGGCGACGAGGAGCTGCTGCTGCTGCTGTTCCCGCTGCTATACTCATCCCGCGGCGAGTACTCCCCAATGCGGGCCGAGAAGTTCATGGGGTAGTTCATGGAGCTGGGGGAGTTGAACCCAAAGGCGTTACTGCTGCGACAGGTAGCGGTCATAGGGGCTTGAGAAGCGGTAGGCAGGAGACTCAAAGCTCCGCTCAGCACCTTCATATTCGGCGGAGTTTGGGGTGGAGTATCTGGTTGGGCTTCGAGAAACCCCATCGCCCGCTGACTCGCTGTGGACTGAGATAGCTGCTGCTGCAGCGGATGCTGCTGCTGCGGATGCTGCCGATTGTGGAACTGCAGTGCCCCGCTCGAACTTCCCGTAGTATGGATGGTACCGCCCACCTGCAACTGCTGCTGCTGCTGCTGCTGCTGCGGGGGCATATTGCTGTAGGGGATTGTATTGCTGCTCGTAGTATGCAGCTGCTGGGTCGTAGCCCCTAGAAAACCCCCGTAGGCCGTGGTGTGCGGCCTTAGGTAAGGAGCTGCTGCTCCGGCCCCATTGAACAGCTGCTGCTGATCTCGTCCTGCATCCTGCGGAGGATATTGCTGCTGCTGTTGCGCCTGCTGCTGTTGCTGCTGCTGCTGCTGCAGCGGCATCGATTGGTGACCCATGTAAGCCGGCGGCGGTGTCTTGCAGCCAACTGTGTCGGCCAGACTCCAGATCTTCGGCTTGGTAGCTGGAATCGGCACGCCACAGTCCCGGCCTAGCTGGTTTTTTGGATCCCCAAGATCACCGCCCTGCAGCTTGGCATTGGCCTCCCCGTGGAAGGGCAACATGGCCTGTTGGCCAGCCTGATAGTAAGCGGGATGCTGATGGTGGTACGGATGGTAGCCACTCGGGTGTCCGCCGGAGGTGCCACCTCCGCCCGGATAGCCACCACTGCCAGCCGAGGGATAACCGAAGCCGGCTCGCAAAATGTTCGCCTGGCCCAAGCACTTTTGGTCCTCGTCTATGGCATCCTCCTCCTCTTTGGTCTCATCTGGTTTAAAGAAACGGCAGCTGTAAGTAAGTTACCCCAGGGAATACCAGTAATCTCCCCCGAATTACCTTTGGCCAAACTGCCACTCTGGCTTCCCTTGCTCGGCTCCAGATCCTCCTTGTCCTTCTCATCGTCCGACACCAAGGCATCGTCATCGTCGTCCGTTCGATTCTTCGGCTCCCAGGTCATCTTGTTCTCCTTCTTCAGCCGTCGACGCGCATTGGCGAACCAAGTGGACACCTGGGTGAGCGTCATCTTGGTGATGATGGCCAGCATGATCTTCTCGCCCTTGGTTGGATACGGGTTCTTCTTGTGCTCATTCAGCCAGGCCTTCAACGTGGCCGTCGACTCGCGGGTGGCGTTCTTGCGACGAGCGGCCAGGTCGTAGCTGGCTCCATAACTGGAATTAGAAACAAGCAATCCGCTATTTAGAGAAAAGACACAACCAAAATTATTGCATTTAAAATTGAGTCACTGTAATTAAGTTTTCATATTGTTTTATTTAGACGTTCCTAATATATTTTATTAATTTTAACAATTTTGTAGTCTATGGTTGGCCAGTTGTAAATGATTCATTGCAGCTACACAAAAAAAAACCCGCCTGAATCAAATCGATATGCGCATGGTAAATTTCTGGTATTTATACGCGCATCGCAGTAGTGACTTCTCTCTCACGGACTTCGAAAAAGAGAGCAATAAACAATATGGCGACTTAAATTACGTAAGTGGCCTAAGAACATTTTACATTTCGAGCATATAAAGTCAAATTGATAACACATAACATCAAATCGATCATCGTTTCATATCAGGTTTTTTTGGGCGTATAGACCTAAAGTCTAATGTTGTCGAAAATTGAGCAGAAACATCTTTTTTTAATTTACAAGTTCCCCTTGCAGAAGTATTCTCTTTCTAATTGCAGGGCCCTAAAAAATCGCGGCAACAGCGAAACATGGAAATTCATTAAAAATGCGGAAAACTCAAATTGATGTTTTCCCACCACCTGCCCCCCGTCGAACCTTAGTGCTCCACTCGGGAGCTTGGGAGCTCGGGTCCTCGTCCTGCCAGTGTAATACAACGTCAAAATATTGTAAAACATAGTTGTGAAACAGGGCACGGCCACAAAAACAGCAACAACAGCAGACCGAACCGAACAGAACAGCGTCTCCGGCAATAACGAGGACGACAAGTGGGTGCAACCGGGTGATCCAGTTGTATTCCACTTTACTCCACTCCGCTCCGCCAGTTCTCTTCAGCAGTGCACTTATCGCATTTTTTAACCCACCAGAGGCTGTGGCATACCCCCTTACACCCCCTTTATTCACATCATCCCCATCATCAGGCATCCGTCCTCTGCAATAATGGTCTACGATGGTATGGCGGTGGTCCTGGCCCCCAGAACTTCCTAGCTAAATTAAGCCCCAACCCAGGCGAACTCCGCTGCACATCCGGCTCATCCGCTTTTCACTTTCGGGTCTTCCCCGATCCCCAATCCCAACCCCAATCCCTTTTCGTCCTCCTTTATTTTCCGTTTGGTTCTTTTTCATGGGATTTTTATGGAGCCACAATCAACAGTTTGTGTGCGGTGAATTTTACAACAAGATAAAGAACGAATCTCGGGACCGCTGCCCGTCGAATGTAAATTCGACGTCCTTTCTCCTTGTTCCTTCTGCTTTTTTTCCTTTTTTTTTTTCCGTTTTTACCCTGTTTGCGTGCAGTGTGGAGGATGTTCATAGTGATTAGCACAAGAGTTTGGAGGAGGACTCGTGATTTTTTATTCCACCAACTAAATACTGGTATGGATCTTACTAAAAACTGCTTTTGGGGGTCAGGAGACTTTATTCAAATAAGAGGAGTTATAACTGTTATAAATAAAAGTTTATATAAATAAAATATATATAAAAAAATCCATCGCAAATCGCTGAGAACTTTATTAAAAGTAAATGTATTTATGATAAGTAAATTCTTTTATCATAAAAATATTAAAAAAAAACGTTTGGTTTAAATAAAACATGTAATAAGATTACAATTTTGGGTTTATAATGCATTTTTTAATAAGTACCTATTAATTATTTTCTATATAATATAACTAACCCTTAATCAATATATTCAATGTTATATAGTTTCAATGGAATACATGAAATTTGAGCAAGATATCTTTCACTGTAACAACCCATAAAGTAAGTAGTCAGATTTGTCCAATAACCGTGACCAGAGGTTGTGAGGCCCGTAATTTTAGGCACGTAACCCGCAACATCGGCCGGGGGCAGTACGCTATGTTTATACGACTTGGCTATATGATTATCGCGTAGTTCGGTAGCCGGGGATCCGACGGATCCGATCCGAGTGATACGCTTTGTGGGCTTTTTGTGCTGTTATGTTTTACAACCTAACAAACATCAATTTGTCCGTAATTGGCACGCATCCTATTTTTGTATTCGCCATATAATTGCAGTGCCGCGAATGCATGTAAAATGTGTACATGTGTCTGCGTTCTTTTGGCATAACTCTTGAACAAAAAATGAAAAAAAAAGTGGAAAAAATGAAATGAAATGATTTGGCTTTGGCTGCTGCTGCTGGCGGGCCATAATCTTGTTAACAAATCACATTCTTGTTCACACAAACACACGGACACGGCTATATGGTCACAATGGCAATATAGCCACCACATAGCGGTCGGCCGAATGGGCCGCTTATTAGTTTTAGACCGGCTTACACCCATTTACATTTCAGCTTTTATACGAGCACATGCAATTTGGTCGGAGCCACCAATTACGGCGGCCATTATCTGCGAGTTGCGATTTACAGCGGCGGGCGCATTTCCACATTTCCACATTTCGAACAAATAACGCTGGCTGGCGCACAAATGACATTGGCTCCCGTGAGCAGACACGTTTCATGCCTGTCACTGGGTAATTACGCTGGCTGTCAGTCCACCGCCACCACCACCCCCATTCGAGCTGTTCAGCCCACTTCGCCCCACCACGGCAATTGCCATCTGCCAGACAGACTTACAGACAGACACTTGGACGAACTGACTGCCAGTCAGTCAGATTTTCCACCTTTCCATCGAGTCTCCCACTTGCCAGTTTCCCACTCCGGTGCCAATTTGTGACAATGAACAAAACAAAGCGCAACCGTTCCTCTCTTAAATGTTTGTCAACCCGTAAATATGTACCCGCCTACGCACCGAAAAAAAATCATTTAAAAATTGTATAATTTAACAAAGAAAATTTCTGTCTAAAATATTAAAAATAACATTTTCACCTTTTTTAATAAAATGGAAAAGAATAATTTTTAAAATAAAAGTAACATTTTGGATTTAAATTTATGGGTCGTGGTCTTTCTATATTTTGGGATTCATTTTATTAATCAAAATATATTGATTTAAATTTTAAATAATTATAGACATCCCAAAAAATAACAAAGTTCTAATATTTCTTCCGACATTTTTGGATTAGTTTTTTGTTGAGCAACTAAACCAAGTAATTTCGTTTTAAATTTTAGACATTTTGAACCTCTCCGAAATATAATTAAATTTGTATACTTATACAATAATTTTCTAAAATTTTCCAACATTTTATCTGTATGATTTATTTGAAGTTCATGAAGGACATACATATATTCGGCTATAAAAATAAAATGTTGCCCTGCCTTAAATCAAAAAAATGCTGATTGTACAAAGATATTTTCTAAAAAACAAAAATTTCAATCTAGAAAATAAATTACGATTTTTCCTATAGTGCACGCACATACAGGCCTAAGTACATACAAACACCGGTACATTGGTAAGTACGTGCGTATGTACTGCCGCTCAATATGGCGGCCAACATGGCGTTCATTTGCGGCTCACACCTCTCCGCCCCCCTGCGCCTGCACTCATTCCACACCGAACCCCCCTTCCAATGCCCCTCCCCCACCAACATGCATCGCTTACAACTCACTCACTCATTCATTCACTTAGCTGCAGCTCGATTTCATGGGCTTTCCGCACGCAAGCCGGGCCCAAACGAAAGCGAACCGATCCAATCCAACCGTCCACAGTCGACCGAACCGTCCAAACCGTCCAACGGGAAGCCGCAGCCGTTGCATGCCACTCAGCCTTTCAGCCACTCCACCTTCCAGCTCTTCTTCCCCCCGATTTTGGTTCGGAATTATATTCGGAGAGGGAGCTGAGGGAAAGGGATCCACTGCCATCGACCATCGTATCACTCCTGTATATGCGTACGCACTTGTTTATGCACCCACGTGTGTACGTACTTAAGGCTTAATGTATGTGCATACACAACAACAAAATCTGATGGTTTTTTGTATGCTCAAAATATTTATTTAATAGGTGCTAATTATACAGCGCATTCCGGAAAATCACGCACCTACACAGTGAATAAAGGTGAAGCTGAACTAAAAAATAAGATAGCAATAGAATTTTCCATGTTTTGTGGACTATATAAATTAAAATATTTTTACAATTTAAAATTGAGTTAAATGACAAAATATCTAAAAATAGATTTTGATCAAGAAGTTAAAGTAAAACCGGTTAAATATGGAAAGCATTAGAAACTTTTAATCCAAAACAATTAAATAATACGAATAAATGAGATTGCAGTATATATAAAATATAAAAGCGCTTTAAATTTAAAAGATTTTTCTACCTTTTAATTCAATTAATTTTCCTTTCAGTGCAAAAGCTCACATGTATTTATATATAAAGCCCTGTGTATGTTGTGCGTTGCGCGCACTGGCGTGCAATTAACTGCTATTATTTTTGCAGCAATCATAAATAAATAATTTCGCGCTCTCATACAGTTTCGAACAATTCAAATTTTATTATCGCCCCGTCCCCAGAGCACTTGCTCACTTGGAATGGGGAAAAATCGAGGGAAATCGGAGGAAAACGCAGGAGCAGGGCAACGCAGCCGCCGCAAGCAATTAAATTCAAATCAATTTCAAGTACTGGCAAATATTTTGTAATTAATTATGGCTGCGCGATTGCGTTTGATTCGTGCAAAACAGTCGCCATGTATTTAAATTGGGCTAAAAGGCTTTCTATTTATTTTCTATTAGACGCAATTAATTATTGTTTTCGGGGGAATGGTGTCTTAATTTGTGGCACCGAGCCACGCAATTGCCATTCGAATCTATTTTTCGCAGAGAAACTAATTAAATGATTATGCTTACCCATAGGCCGACATGGGATCGTAGGAATAATAGCCCGTGGTGGGCTGCAGTCCCGCCGAGGTCCAAGCTCCCATCTCCGGACCCGCGCCCGTGTCCTTGAGTCCGTACGGATTGCTCTGAAACGATTAAGAATTCAGCATTCGATTGAGTTATTATATTGTCGCCATGGTTGCTATAAGCGAAACAAAGCATTTTCCCACAGTTTCCGAAGTTGACAATTTTGTTAACATGGAATCTATAATTTGGCAACATATTTCGCAGCCGAACAAGCAAATGCCGAGTGGCTGGCCATATTTCAGAGACAGATACACCGATCGATACAGAAAAATACATAATTTAAGGCAGCGACTTTCCGAAAATCGGTAATATCTAAGTCGAAGCGCCGATTATTGTTATTATACCCCTACATTAATACACACATTTCGTATATTTTTAGTCGTATATGAAAGCAGCCAACCCGCAAAAGGCTGACACTTTGAATTTTAATTTGGCTCGATTTCTGTTTGTGGCGTGCTGCGATTTATGCCCTCGGAAAATGACAGCCGGATTTATGAGCGACAACTATTGGCCAGATCGCCGCCGCTCGAGCGCCCAATCTGGTTGGCCCTGTCGAGCCGGGCTTTTGTGAGCTCTTGATTTATGAAACGGTATTAACATTTTTAATTGCTTAACATCATGTATGCCGTTGTTTATTAATTTTTCACCCCACCCCTTTTCGGCCAGAAAAGCCGCCGCTGCCGAGTGACAAATATATTTATCAAAATGTCCAACGAACAGGTATTGGTATTGCTTTCGACCGCCATCGCAAAGCCCTTTGCCAGATTTATTTACCAATCGAAATGGGGCGAAATGCCAGAAGTGAGATTTTGCTATGTAGATCTTACGGAAGAACTCACGTATTAACACCTCGCTCCCGAAATTGAGCGACGACATCTTATCGAGAGCCTTCCGAGATATTTTCTTAATTAAAAGTATGCGCTTCGTGACGACCGATAAAGAAGACACTCGGTCAGGTGCTCGCCAGAAAATCCAACAAAAACAAAAGGAAAAAAGGGGAAAAAATAAAGAACGAATGAATTTCCTGTTGTTGTAAATAACAATTTAACATGACACTTTGGTGGCTGCCGCTGCCATCTCCGCCCCATTTGCTTTTCTCCTCCTTTCCCGCGGGGGTTTCCCTCTTACATCACTCTCTTCTTCGAGGAGGTTTTCTTTGAAGTACTCGCCGAGAGCCGCCCAAGTTGATTAGACTCGCTGTTCGTTCATATTAATTAGATCGTTCAAACTAATGTGCTTATTACAGCCCTCGTAAACATTGGGGAAATATTGTTGACAAAGTCGGACAAGTGTTTTAAGATTTCTCTAAATTAGGAACAATTTATGAAAAGTGTGTATTCAAAGAGAAGTTAACATTCCCGAGGACAGCAAAGGACTTAAAACCAAATTAATCTGTGGTGTAGATTTTTTGTGTTATTTTGATATACAAGTTTAATTCGGTGCGGTTAAAAATTCTAAAGACAAAATATACCTTCTGCCACAGCTAACATAGTAAGTTATTATTAATTATCATGTCATTAATATAACAATTATTAATATCAAATAAAAAAATTGATAAGATAATTTTAAAAAGATTATTAAATTTATAATTGTATTATAATTATCATTATTGTTTTGAAAACGATTAATTGTTAATTTGACCACTGAAAAATTATATAAAATGTAATATCTTTAAAGGCAAATTTTATTCTTGCAGTAAAAATAAAATTGGAAAGTCATCAAGACTGTTAGAAAATTATGTCTTCTATATAATTTTTTTATAAACGCAGGATTAATCATTCAGCTTTTTATTTCTTAGAAAAAATATTTCATTAAAACTCTAAAATTATTAAAACTCTAATATTTAAGTCAATCATATTTATTACAAACTAAGAGATTCACTTAAAAACTGCCAACATAATTCTCGACATATTCTCGAACAAAAATTGTGTACACAAACCACATCGATGAAAATATTTATCTGCTGTGCGATGCGGCAACATGATGTCCTTATAAAACACTTGCTCGGGTATTTGGGCACTTCCAGCTAAGCTGTTTGGCCTATCCATCTCGGGCAGTTAGTTATTTGCCAAGGCTAAATACTGTCCACATTGTTGTTATACATATTGTTGCCAATTTTATGTGTTTGTTTGTGTTTTTGCCTGTGTTTTGTTTGACTTTCATTCAGGCCAGCAGCAAAAGCAGCAGCCAGCGTGTGTTTTGCTTCAGTCATGCTGTGCTCGTGTACATTTCAGCGGTCACTTAGAGACTATATAAAGACAGTTGCGGACAAGGTAATGGGAGTACTTGAGGAACTTGAAAAATGCCAATAAGTGTGATTATTTATACACATATTAAAAATAATTAAAATCTTTATACAAAGATTACGTTAGACAATTTTTTTATCTTAAAAAAGTATTTTTTCGCGTTTAAAATAATTTGTAGATATGTAAAATAACACTGTGCAACATTTTTAGGGTTATAAAATGTAACCGCAATTCTGATTTCATTGGCGGAAAGAACTCATCGAAATAAGCTAAAACCCATTTGGGTTTCTCTGGCTTAGCTCCCGTTTCCCTATTATAGCGAGTTAAAGTTTTACATACAAAATTTTTTTGTAACGGCCATATCTTGTGAACCGATTAAAATTTCACTATCAAGTCTTCAGTGATTATGTAGCTATGAACCCAAGGAACTAAATTGACAAATGACTCTTGCGAAGACGTACACCTAGCGCGTTAAAAATCGAAAAATTAGGCAAATTTGTTTTTTAAGGCGCTAGGTGCACTAGGTGCTAAGTGCGCAAGAGTCATTTGTCAATTTAGTTCCTTGGGTTCATAGCTACATAATCACTGAAGACTTGATAGTGAAATTTTAATCGGTTCACAAGATATGGCCGTTACAAAAAAATTTTGTATGTAAAACTTTAACTCGCTATAATAGGGAAACGGGAGCTAAGCCAGAGAAACCCAAATGGGTTTTAGCTTATTTCGATGAGTTCTTTCCGCCCATGAAATCAGAATTGCGGTTACATTTTTCATGTTGCACTGTGTAATCAATACTTAGTGTTTTAAATTTTAAGGAATTATTAAAAATTTGTAAACTTTTTTTTGAACAAATTTGTGAGCAACAGTAAGTCAGACTGTTTTTACTAAAGTCAAAAAATAATAATTGTTTTTGGTGCGTGTTTGAAACAGCTATAAAATATTATAGTTGAGTACAACTTAAAATAAAACAAGAAAGGAAGCTAGCTTCGGCCAGCCGAAGCTTATATACCCTTGCAGATCATTCCTATTAATTTACAAATCGCAAAAATGTTCAATTTTCTAATATTTCCCATTAATTTTCCGATCGTTCCTATGGCAGCTATATGATATAGTCGTCCGATTTTGATCAAATTAAAATTGAAATTCGAAAATATTTAAAAAGAGTCATATCCTAGAGTAGGGGATAATACAATAAAAACCAAAGAAGCTAGAATTTATTTCCTATTACCTTTCCATTAATTTTCCGATCGTTCCTATGGCAGCTATATAATATAGTCGTCCGATTTTGATCAAATTAAAATTGAAATTCGGAAATATTTAAAAAGAGTCATATCCTAGAGTAGAAGATAATACAATAAAATACAAAGAAGCTAAAATTTATTTCCTATTACTTTTCCATTAATTTTCCGATCGTTCCTATGGCAGCTATATGATATAGTAGTCCGATTTTTTAACTAATTAATTCGAAATTCAGATATATTTAAAAAATAACATCCCCAAAAGTAGAAGGTAATATTCCAAAAAACACCGAAGCTAGAATTTTTTAAAGTTTTTTTTTCCGATTGTTCCTATGGGAGCCATAAGATATAGTTGTCCGATCCGGTCGGCTCCGACATATATACTACCTGCAATAGAAAGAAGACTTTTGGGAAAGTTTCATCCCGATAGCTCAAAAACTGAGAGACCAGTTTGCGTAGAAACAGACAGACGGACAGACGGACAGACGGACAGACGGACGGACAGACGGACAGACGGACAGACGGACAGACGGACATGGCTAGATCGACTCGTCTTGTGATGCTGATCAAGAATATATATACTTTATGGGGTCGGAAACGTCTCCTTCACTGCGTTGCAAACTTCTGACTGAAATCATAATACCCTCTGCAAGGGTATAAACATTTGGTTGGTTTTTATACCCTTGCAGAGGGTATTATGATTTCAGTCAGAAGTTTGCAACGCAGTGAAGGAGACATTTCCGACCCCATAAAGTATATATATTCTTGATCGGCATCACAAGACGAGTCGATCTAGCCATGTCCGTCTGTCCGTCCGTCTGTCCGTCTGTCCGTCCGTCTGTCCGTCCGTTTCTACGCAAACTAGTCTCTCAGTTTTAAAGCTATGGGGATGAAACTTTCGTAGAAGTCGTATTTCTATTGCAGGTAGTATATATGTCGGAACCAACCGGATCAGACAACTATATCTTACAGCTCCCGTAGGAAGGATAAAAAAAAAACGTAAAAAAATTCTAGCTCCGGTGTTTTTTTTACCTTCTACTCTTGGGAATATTTTTTTTTATATATTTCTGAATTTCGGTTTTTTTGTTTTTTAAATCGGATCACTATATCATATAGCTGCCATAGGAACGGTCGAAAAATTAAATGGAAATTAATGGGAAAAAATTATATCTTTGGTGGTTTTTATTACATTCCCTTCTTCTCTGGGATATGACTATTTTGAAATATTTCCGAATTTCGATTTTAATTTTTAAAAGATCGAACTACTATATCATATAGCTGTGATAGAAACGATCGAAAAATTAATGTGAAATAATAAGAAATTTAACATTTTTGCGATTTGTAAATTAATAGAATGATCTGCAAGGGTATATAAGCTTCGGTTTGCCGAAGCTAGCTTCCTTTCTTGTTTTCTTTAAAATTACTTTTTTAGGCTTTACAATTTTTGGCATTTTTTAAACTTTAATTTTTTTCTGAGTAATAAATGATTTTTGCAACATAAGTACCACTATTATTTTGACCGCCTGCTGTGTGCTTGTGGTGCTCACACACACTGCAGCATAAGCTTGATTAGCCCACACATACACGAAGAGAGTGGAGTGTAATTGAGGCCATGGGGCAATATGTTTTGTTTCCAATGATTTTGCCTTTCTTTATGCAAAGTATCAAATATCGCAATGGAAGTCAATGGCAGTTGGCAGTAGGGAATCGGCGGAGCAGGCGGGCTTATAAATTAGGTAGATGGATAGACGGAGATAGAAAAGGAGTGGCCATCGGGGGAATGGGGATGGGAATGGGAATGGCAGAAACTAAACCCCCGATACGGAGCCAAATGAGGTTTGACTGAGCTTCAGTCAGCCATAATGATAATTCGATTTAGTCGACTGCATTGACAAGCCATCGTCGTTGTCGTTGTTGCTTTGTGTCGTTGTCGTTGTTTTTTGTCTCCCTCCTAAGCTGCGGACAAAAGCCACTGACTACACAATTAAAGTCATACGTTGAGATAATCCATTTAGCCCTCTGGCCCATGGCTCTTGGCCCTCCGGCTCTTGGCCATAACACTTGGAAAAAATCTACACATTTCTTAACTAATGGCAGAAATAAGTTAGAACGAAAAAATGTTTGCCCCCCAATTTTGAATTATACAAAATAAACCAATTGCATGTCAAATGACGATAAACAATATTTATAAAATATTATTTTAAAAAATTTAAAAATTATTTATGATTTAAATGAAATTAAACAAGTTTGAAATAACAAAAAAACGTAAAGTTACACACAAAAAAAAAACTTAGTAAAATCAACTGTAATAATTGTCAAACAGGCCCCAACCAGCAAAATTGTCAATTCTACTAAGTAAATAGTCATTTCACAACAACAAAATACACACAATTAGCAAAGACACAAACCCAAAGCAAAAACAAAATACACGTAACTATTTTAATAGTTACGTAACTATCTTTGTTGGTCAATTTTACCAAGCAAATTTTTTTGTGTGTAACAATGATATATTTATCAGAAATTTATTTAATCCAATCATTATATCTACCTGTCAATATATGGTTATAATTTAACCAGTTTTAAATAGCAAATATGAACATATATTTAGGAATTTCATAAAGGGCATGAATTCTAATCCATAATGAAATTCAAATTTATAAAGAATTTCATCATAAAAACTTGTGTTTAACATGATTTAAAAAATGTCAACAAATATTTTAGAATACCGAAAACATAGGGAAGTAAATGCTTTAGGTTGCCCACACTTCGAGTTTTTGAAGTGCACTCACCAGCGGCGAATAGAAGGCGGAGCTGTCCACTCCGATGCTCTGGTAGGGATTCTGGTCCGTCGAGGGGTAGGGCGTTCCGTAGACGCCGACGCTGGCCGCCGGGAGGCGGGAGTAGCTGGAGAGGGCGAGGCGGGCGGAGTCGTACTGGCAGGAGCAGACCGTCTGACCCGACACCGGGTCGGTCATTATGGGCCGCCCGTTCTCACAGCAGGATCCACCACCACCACCACCGGCACTAGCACCACCGGCTGTGGGCGTCGTGCCGTCCAGGGAGCCACCGGTGGGCAGGTCCGCTCCTCCGGCTCCTCCGCCCGCCGAGGATCCACCACCGGCTCCAACCACCGTCGCCGCATTCGAGTTCTGCGAAAGAGCATTGGGACTCAGCGCCCCCGAGGAGGCATCTCCGCCAGCTCCGCCGGTCGGCTGGCTGCCCTGACAATCCTGACCTCCCGGTGGGCTCATCGCGGGGGCGTTTGTCATCACCAGCGCCTCGTTCACATTCACATTCACGTTCGCGGAAGCGTCCTCCGGCGGCTGGGCACTTGGCGGCAGGAGCTGCAAGAGATTGGAAGTGGATGGGAAGAGGGTCTTGAGTCCGACTTTATCGCAAATTGAAACACAAATTCGGCTTTTCAGCCCCTTATCTTATGTGTATATTAAAGTGACTGCAGAGAGAAAAATCTCTTAAAAATTATTTAATTATACAAAACAAAATCAAGGCAAATATTTTTTGAAAGAAAAGGATTACATTTTGGAGAAATCTAAATTTTTGTAAGATGTGCAATCCTTTTTTGGAGTAATTATCACTTCGTTACTGTTAGATTTCAGACATAAATCGTAAAAATAAATTTCATGTTATACCTACAACTGAAATTAATTTATTCTTACTGACTTTGAGCTTTCCCAATTCCAAAAAAAATTTGTTAAGGTCTTCTAAATGATTAAATCATTGTTAAACTAAAATGTCTCTAAATATTTTACCTAGATGCAGGTAGTAATTTATATTTATAAGTTAGATAATATAATCAAATCGTCATTATGCTTTTCCCCCTGTGCAGGTACTTCAAAAATCCAAAAGCATTCGCTGATAGCCTTAAGTGATATATAAACACACATCGCCACTGGTTTACATAACTAATGCATGTTAATCAAGGGACCATTTTAATTTTTATTTCAAACACCAAGGGCCGATGATCGAGAAATATTTTCCCTCAGCTGCAAAAGGGTCATTTCGAACACCTTTTAGAGATACGAAGACCCGATAAGACTCCACACTTACTGTGACGAGGTGGGGCTTCCAAGAAACCTCCAATCATTGTGCTATTGAAGGAAAATATTTCATTTTGAACACAAAAAGCTGTCCCTAAACTGACATTGTTTATCTCCAAACATTTCGCCAATGAATTAGTTTCTTGCGCTGTTCAAATGATAAGATATTTATGATGATTGTTTCAAAGGGTGATCAGTTTTCTTCTAACTATCTTTTTATCTAAGTGTGTAGTGAACTTTTATGATAGGTATTTTAGAATTTTTAAAAAAGAAAAAAGATTTTTAAACATCTTTCTATTTACTTTTTCCAAATCAGTCATATATATATTTTTTTAGTTAGATAATATGATAAATTTAATAAATGTTCCAAATCCATGATATATTATCCAATGTTTTTTAGTTGGAAAATTGAGAAGTAATTTTATAATTATAGGAAATTTCCGTTAACAGCGGTCTAAACTAGATGTCAACTTTACCGCGAAGATGCGAAATGAAAACCTGCCTGGGAATGGATGCCTCCGCCTCGGGAGTCACAGGAAACGCACGTACATGCATAATGGCTAATTTTCTACAGCATAAAGCCGAGTAAGTCATGCTAACTGCCGTACTGGAATGGAAACTTCATAAATATTGATGTCCGGCAATGTTGTTTGCCCACCCCATATCGTCCTCCTACCGACGAAGACACCAAATCCGCGCGGGGGTCGCTTGAATCGCTGGGTAATTGCGAATTTAATTCGAAAAATCGACAGAAGGCCCATTACAAGATGCATCGATAACATGTAAGCGAATATGGTGTTAACACACAATCAATGCCGCCGGCAGGAAAGCGCAGAAGCTGCACGGGATTCATAATCCCGCGGCGATTAGGTTCCCTTAATCAATGGTCAAGCTTTGAGCTTCCAAACGACTCCTCTGCTCTTCTGAGCTCCTCGGCAAATGGCGGCCAGATCAATTACCCCGCAAATCGATTTCAAGTGCTCGATCGGAACAGGCTGATGTGATGTCCTCCATCTTTTCTGTCGGAGAGCTTCGCCTATGGCATGCGCCAGTCACTTGGCAATTAATATGCAAAATGCAAAATGCGCCAAGCCCAAGAGCCCAAGACTGGTTGGGGCATTTAAAAATGCCAGAAATCAATGAGGGTGTGGCAGCCGACGCCTATAGGTCCGCAGTTCGGGCTCAGAAACCAGGACCCAGCCGAGATCGATACGGGGATATATGGAGATGGAGATGGAGTCGGGCAAACATGCTGGCAAAGGCTTCTGAAAATTACCGCGGGCAATCTGCAGAACGAGCGGACTGCTTTTGCTGCTGCTGCTGCCTTAATTTCAGAAAGTCTGAAGGCTGAAAGTCCCAAGTCTGGGCGAAAATATCGGCGAACCGAACCCATAATTAAGTTGAGTGCTCCGCCTGACGGACAGCTACAAATTGATCGAATGCCAGCAAAAGGTCATAATATCTGGGCAACAATTTCAGCCGGCTTACACGGCTTCCGTGGCAGAATTCAGAATCCAGAATACAGAATTCCGGGCAATTTTTAAATGCAGCCCCAAAACGCATAATTATTCCGCGCCATTAACATAATCTGACAATAGAACCTTCGCCCGAAATCGCAGCATGCATATTATAATTATCAGATGCGATCGATCGATCCTCTTTAAAGTCTTCAAAGCAGGTGAGTGATCCACTAGAAGGCCGTCTGATCGTCTCATAATTAATATAGGAAATTTTTGAGTCATGCTGGAGCGTAAAAATAATAGAATTTCGAGGCCAAGACCGCTGACTATATATAGGGACATTGTCGAAAAAAAACAAAAAAACGCACAACCATTTATCAAAATTTTACAAATGAATGATTCAGGTGTTTTTTGTTTGTGCCGCGTGATTTTAATTAGTAAAAAGCAAATACATTTCGGTCGGTCTGTATGGCCTGTATGGGAATACTCGACGATCGGCAGAAGGCGAAGGAGGCTGGCTGCGTTCTCCGTTCCCAGAGACTCTCGCACAATATGAGAATTATGACAACTGATCTGATAGGCGACACCATATAGGGAGCTCTATGCGCCTGCCAGATTCCGCAGCTCCTTGAGCGAATGCATTATTCATGAGGCGAAATGCAGAGGACTCCATTCCTTGCCTTTCCGCTGGCGGAGGAAGCGCCAGTCCAGTGGGCCATGGCCATGTGAATTGGCCACGTCTTCAGTTGGCAGTCGGCAGTCGGCAGTTGGAGGCTGCAAGTTGCAAGTTGCGACTTGCAGACGACTGGCAGGCGACAGTGCGCAGATAAGATCTGCTGGCCATGTGTGCCCAGTAACCAGTGCAGAGAGCCGAGTACCAATACCACATCCCAATACCACAGTCCCGAGTCCCAGTCCAGTTTCAGTGGCTTTGGAAATTTCTGTGAATCGCAAACGCAGCGATCTAATCGCGACTTGTATCTCTGGGTCCGCTGCCAAGCTCCCGATTCCCTGATTCCGATCCCGAATCCCTCCCCCGACAACCTTCCTTCTTCAGATGACCAAGTTGATAGCACAAGACTATAAGCGCCACTTGGAGTCGAGGAGCAGCCCCCATCTTCCCCGCAATGTAAAGTAGATCACAGAGGGCCCAAAGTCATTGGTCCATTCCATCGATCGTTTTGTGGGATCTCTCAGTATCTGGCAGCCAGAATCAATGGATGCTCCTCACGTAGCTACCAACGCATTCCCAGGGCCTGCCCTCAGCTGTCACTTTACGGTTATGAATTTTATGATTTACGATCGCCGCAATTGAATTTTATTGACTTTTCAACAGTTTCACCTGAGCGTGCTTCAATCGGCACCTCCCATCGTCTTGGCCTTCTGATTGCCAACGAGCCGGGCTTTTCGCTTTTCTCATTTTTTTTCCTTTTCGTTTTCGACTGCACTTAATTGGACTCGTGTGGTCCGAAATGGGAAAGACTCCAGAGTTCTTCGGTGGAATCCCCACGTAGTGTTTTTTCTTAAGGGTCGATACCAAGCAATTATAGCCTGGGAAATTAAATTTTTGCTCTATCTCTAGGCAAACTCAATCAATGGGAAATTCAATTTACTTTTGGCTTGCTAATAATTTCTTTAAATTCACTAATTCATCAAAATATATCTTAGAAATATTATGGTTGCACCTGCATGTCTTTTGTGCAAAAGCTTTAAAGTACCGAACAGTTTTTGTGACTTTTTAAAGTGGGCAAAAACTGTCGAGTCCTTGGAGTGTTTTTTTCTCAGGCCATTTATCAGCCATCTGATTTATTATCGTTTTTTTTTGGCCTTCCACCAATTTACTGTCATATAGATGGAAAAAGTTTGCTTTGAGCAGCTGTTTTTGTTGCTCAGTGAAAAGTCAAAAAGCGCAACAATCAAAGACTTTTAGCGGATTTGCCCTATAGTGGGTCTTCAAGATCAAATGATCTGATAGCTTTGACTGGGAACGTTAAAAATACTCTTATGAAAGCTGGTGGTTTGGATCTCAAATTTACAAGTTTTTTAATAAGATGGGTTAAAGATATTTTTAGAGAAGTTTCTTTTCAAATTACAGTCAATTTAAAAAATTATATGAGATTCATGTAGTAAGGAAATTTAATATAATAAATATCAATCATAGTTTGCCCTCTTTTAAGGAGAAATGTTACTAACAATTTTAATTATTTTCTTAGTAATCAACTTTTTTTGTTTTAAATTTTTTGATCTAATAATAATTGTAATTAGTTTATAAAATCTGTCTAGAGAATACTATCTTCATATAACATGAACTTCCATTCTTAATAATAATAATTTTAATAGACTTTTTCATTCCTCCTGATATCTTGAAATCTCCTGTGTGTTAATGACTATGAATATTTATAGACCATATTAATTAGAGACCCACCTGCGAGGCCGACGGAAAGCCTCCGTATCCGAATTGTGTGTAGGCAGCCATTTCGCTATATGACTAAATGACGCTATAAGACCTTAGTCTTAAGTAACTCTCTCTCTCTCTCTCTCACGTGGGCAGTCTTCTGGAGGATATTTAGTAAAGCTGCTACATCAAATGATGTGCTGATGGGGTTAAGAGCTCAGTTTCGATTGGGTCTATTCACAGTAACCGGCGATAGCAACAAGAACGACATTAGGCCAACCGAAAGTACATATCTCGGGTCTGTCACTCGCTATTCGAAATTCTGTCACTTTTTTCCTTATTGGATTTCTCTTGGCCAGAACAACACTCGCAAAACGGCGGCGGCAACACGAAAATCGACGAAAAATCGACGGCAAAACCGGCGTTATGGCCAACACACGCTCCTCTAGATGTGCACCTTATAACGTTCGAACACGAACTGGTTGCGAATGCCGTTGCTGTTGCTGCTGTCGCCGTGATGTTGCTGTTGGCCGTGTTGCTGCTGTTGCTGCCGCTGCTGTTGTTGTGGCGCATTCCGCTGCAGTTGCTGCCAGAGCGGGACAACGAGATTGCGGCCCCCAGAAGAATGCCGCTCGCCTTGGAGCAACAAAAGCCGGCGGACTGGAAGCGAGAATTGGGCAACGCCCACCATTCGTTTCCTCTCTCTGTGCCATCCATTCCCCGCCAGCAACTCGTATTCGCAGCTCACTGGAAGTGCGGCGGCTCAACCACCAATCATAATACTCCATTGCCTTCGGCTGGCTGATTTAATGGACAGGTGCGAGGCGAATACAATACCAAAAAAGATTAAAAAATGAAATGGAACTGCGAGATATCCAGAATTTTCACAACTCTCGATGGTCTTGTTTTCCCCACGATTCCCGGGCAACGCCCATTTGTTTTGTTTGGCTAGTCATTTGTTTGTTTACCTTTCGAAACACTGACTGAGCCACTGACTTCTCGGTTTGGGAATTGCTCTCGAGCTAATGCGATCGCCAGCTGAAAATGCCAACAAATGTGGTGCGGTTGCCAAGTGGTGACACAAAAGCGTTAATACGATCACCGAATTCCTCTGCACTCGCTCTGTATTTATCGCCCGTCATTACCTTTATCGCTGAATTGCGCGAAAGTTAACTCCCATTATCAATCCTAACTAATTAATCTCACCTTATCGGGTTCATAAATTATACTTAAATATCAAGCTACCTGTATACCAGTTATTCCAAATATCATCGAGATTTTAGCTTATTTATGCGAGGAATTAATATCCTTAGTAAGCCATCGTCATTTAATTCTTGGACCATTTCAAATTTTCTATTTTAATTCCAACTGAATTGGTCTGAAATAACTAGATTTTTACTGAGTCAAAATCTGCCATTTCTTTCTAATAAAATTTTTTACTTTTCCGGTTCACAACGAAAATATAAGAACTTCATTTGAACGGTTTTGTGGAAATTTTGAGTTTTACCGGAGTTATAGAAGTCAAAACGTGGCATTTTTGACACTTTTCGAAAAAGTTGCACTCAGTCATTAATTTATAACTTCGGAACGGTTAGATTTATCTTTATGATGTTTTCACTAATCGCTCAACAATTAATATGGCTTTTCATAAAAAAATTTAAAAAAAAAATTAAAAATTTTTGTTCTTAAAAATAAATCAACATTTTTTTTAGTTTTTATTTTTTTCAGTGTTCTTCACCAGCTATAGAGTTTAAAACCATTTGAAAATAAAGTTTGATTCATTACGAAAAAGATCCAAAAAAAAAAGAGTGGCCCGGCCAAAGTTTTCGCAATATCGATTTGAAGAAGGGCACACAGCGGTTTCCCATACAAAAACGGCTTGCTCGTGAAAACTGGCTGGTCAACACATGCCGTAGCGAGCGTAGCGTCAGCTGTCAATGGGGGACTTTTTGCCGTTTTGTATGGAAAACCGCTGTGCGCCCTTCTTCAAATCGATATTGCGAAAAACCTTTGGCCGGGCCACTCTTTTTTTTTTTAATCTTTTTCGTAATGAATCAAACTTCATTTTCAAATGGTTTTAAACTTTATAGCTGGTGAAGAACGCTGAAAAAAAAAAACTAAAAAAAAATTTTGATTTATTTTTTGGAAAAATAAATTTTAATTTTTTTTACATTTTTTATGGAAAGCCATAATAATTCTTGAGCGATAAGTGAAAACATCATAAAGATATCTCATACCGTTCCGAAGTTATGAATTAATGACTGAGTGCAACTTTTTCGAAAAAGTGTCAAAAATGCCATGTTTTGACCCCTATAACTCCGGCAAAACTCAAAATTTCGCAAAACCGTTCAAATGAAGTTCTTATATTTTCGTTGTGAACCGGAAAAGTAAAAAAGTTCGATGAAAATCGGACCTTCGGAACAGGGGTGGCCCACTTGGCAGATTTTGACTCTACTTTGATTTCTTTCTAATAAAATTTTACTTTTGGCAAACATTTGAAAATACCCTAATGATTTTATGGTAAATTTTAATTGGAATTTAAAAATAAGTGAAATAGTTTAATTACCCATTAAACTTAACCAATTAGTTCCGACCGAGGCTCTACAAATATACCTTAATAGCATATTCTAGCCAATTTATTTCCTCCACTTGAAGGCATTTCTAATATACAAGCAATTTTAATTGCAATTAAATAGCATTTGACATGCATCCCAAAAACATGAAATTGGTGCCCTCATTTTTGATTTGACGAATTGCATCTATCATGTTGATGGGTGATTTATGGTATTTTTGGAAATAATGAAAAGAGAATTTCGTTTTGCTAAAAATATGGTTTTTAAGAAGTAATATATATATTTACCCACTATTCCGTTTACTAAAAATATCTTTCAACCTTTTTACTTTTCTATAAAAAAAATACGAGCAGTTTGAATTGCAATTAAATAGCTTTTGACATGCTTCCCAACAACAACGAATTAATGACCTAATTTTTGTTTTGACGAATTGCATCCGATTTATAAAATATGAGTTTCTGTACGATGATAGGTGGATCTCCAAAAAGTTATGACATTCTCCTATATGCATGGATTTTAAAGAAGTCATACTTAAAATACATATACTTTTATATTATCCCTTCAATGGCATACATTTCCGTTTACTATACATTTTTATCAAACTTTTTACTATTCTTTAAAAATGCCATGCCTGCCTGATTACCCAGGCAGAGGACTGGGAAAAAAGTTTCGCTATTACTAACATATTTGGACTTCCGCTTTATGATCCATTTTTTACGATTCTCCGGCAGGACGAGGGACCTGCGGGGTGCCCAACTAATGCCCAGGACACGCATTCCGGAAATGGTCTCCGGCGAGAGTCCACTGTGGATGGATGAGGATGCGGATATGGATGTTATGATGCCGTGAGGTAAACCTCAAATGTTTTTGCGGGTGTCGCGGATGCTCTCGTGTGTGTTGGCAAGCTTGTTTGCTGTGTCTCTTTTTTTTTGTTTTCTGTTTATTTTTATGATAATGTAATAAAAGCAAATTAACCTATAAAACCGAAAAAGTGCGACTTACACGACGGAATTGCGCCATAAGGTCTGGGCGTGTCCTCACCTCGCTCCGCACAAGATATATGTATTCGTATGGCAGTGGGCAGGGAAAGAAGAGAAACGATCCACGTGGTGCTGATTTGGAAGTGGGAGTGGGTGTGGCATAGAGCGAAGTGGAGTGGGTGGAGGTGGGGTGGGCGCACCACCCACCGCGGCCGAGCATCGGCGGAAAATGAGAGCAACGTGTTAGCTCAAAGCAACAAATGACCAAAGCTGTTGCCCCTGCCAAACGTAAATGTGAATTAATTCCAAGGGAAGCCAAGTCATGCCGAGGCCAAAGGCAAAACCCAGCGGCCACTGTACACTTGGCCCAAAATTAGAGAAAGAACCCTTGGAAAATATTTAGGATGAACATTATTTTACTTTTGTCCACAAAGTGAAAGACATTTATCAAATTTGAAAAAAATAAAACTTAATTTACGCTTCACTACAAAACTGCATAATTTAATAAATATATATATATAAATCACTTTAATTTTAATTAAAACATTTTAGCCTTAAACCAATAAGAATTGGCTTTCAAATAATTAAATTGCTGCATATTTCAACATTTTTTCTATCACCAAAAAGGATTTGTTTTTGTTACAAGCCTGCCACCTTTCAAATAAGATTGGTCTATAGATCAATATATTCTAAAAATAAAGGGAGTTTTTTTTATAGTGCAGCAGCAGCAACAAGAACGGAGAGTCCCCGGCCAAGTGCCCCTCCGGGTGTTAAGTACAATATTTGCTGTGTTGCGCGTTTTACGAGTGGCGCTTTTGCAATCGCTGGGTTTCGCTGGGCGAAAGGGGGCAGCCAAAGGGGGGTAAGGGGGGCGAGGCGGTAAGGAGGCGGACAGGCGGCGGGGGGCGTGGCAGCGCCGGGCCAAATGCAATCAATCAATGGGTCAGCATGATGGTACACACCAGACGAGTGGCAACCACATGGGGCGTTTCCATTTGCGGCAGCCACACACTGACCACCCTCTGAGTCGAGAATCGAGAGTCCAAGAGTCGAGAGTCCTGAGCCAGAATCTCGAAAAACTTGGATCGGGATGCGGATTGGAATCGCAATTGGCAGTGGCGGTGGCAAGATGTGCACTTCACTTACAAATCAGTCGACGGCACTTAAAACCTATTTTGACAATTGAGCTGTCCGCCTGTCAAGCTGACAGCGCGCACTTTTCACGCCACTCGATAAAGTACAAATATATATATATGGATGTAGGTATAAACATATATATCAGGAATTCGGATTCGGATTCGAGTTCGGTAGATATGGTGGTGGTATTTCCTCCACCGTTTTATGCCGTTTTAATTGCAACATCTGTCACTGCGGTTTATGCATATATCAATTTCAAAATAGCCAGCAAATGGCAACGGCAATGATTCCATTTCCATTTCCAGAACCAGAACCCAAGCCCAATCCCTCGAACCCCGTGGAAAATGAAATATATTTTTATTTTTATTATATTCGCCGGCAAAAACTGTCACAACACTCGCCACTGACGCCTGTCGAGTTCGGTTCCGTTCGGTTCGGATCTTCGAAAGAAGAGCAGGGGTTGCAGGGATCAGGGGATTCGGGGATCCGGGTCTGAAAGAAGGGTCAGGACTCGATACGCACCACACACACTCTATGGCAACCTTTCCCTTTTTTCCCGCCGCG